GCGCAATGTGAGCCCGAGTGTGCACGCGGGAGTGTGAGCACGCGGGAGTGTGCGCAATGTGAGCCCGAGTGTGCACGCGGGAGTGTGAGCACGCGAGAGTGTGCGCAATGTGAGCCCGAGTGTGCACGCGGGAGTGTGAGCACGCGAGAGTGTGCGCAATGTGCGAGCCTGAGGGTGCACGCGGGGACGCGTGTGTGAGGGGGACATGTGTGCACGAGGGGAACGCGTGGGCTGTGCCTGTGTGTGGAGAGCACGTGGGCACTGCTGAAGCGGCAGGAGTCCACACCCGGTGTGCACATGAACGTGTCCTTTCTTCTCTCCACCCCTGCGAAAGCGATTATTCAATCAATGATGAATTTTGCATCGACAATGACACATTTTAATGAAAAGAGCGGGCGCCTGTCGGAGTGGCAGGAGGGAAGTCACAGCGGCTGTGGCAGGAGCGTAAACAAAGGCGGCCACACCGGCGTTTTCTTTGAGGGCTACAACCTGCTGGGTGGACCCGGGAGCGGTGCGACCGCGAGGAGCCTGACCAGAGGGCAATAAAGAGACCAGAGGCAGGTGGGGGGCGGGGACAGGCAGCTCTGCCCCAGCACAGAAACCAGGAGGCCCCGAGGGACAGCAGAGGAGCGCACTCTGCGGCTGCGATGGTGGGGCGACCCCGCGTGGTGGGGCGACCCCGCGTGGTGGGGCGACCCCGCGTGGTGGGCCACCGCGCACAGTGGCGAGACCCCGCAGCAGGATTATGTTCCTCAGTCTGAGCGAGTGTGTGGGCCACGGGACAGGCTGAGCCGTGGGGGTGGCCATCAGGCCTGGGAGGAGACCAGGAAACACGGGTCCCCCTTGAAGGAGGCTCGGGACGGGTCTTCAGCGCGGAGATGGCCCCAGGGGAAGGCAGGTCAGCCCCTGGCCAGAGCGCGCCACGGAATGTTCTCCAGCATCTCCATTGTGCCAGCCAGAGAGCATCTACTCCCCGTTGTGCCAGCCAGAGAGCATCCCAGACGTTGACAAATGTCCCCAGGGAGCAAAATGCCCCGACTGAGACTCACAGAGAGGCGGATGCAAGGGGAGGAGGGAGAACCTGGCCTGGGTGAATGGACAGGAGGCTGCAGGGGCTGCTTGAGGGCTCAGGGGCCGTGTCCACCCACAGATCCGCTGTGGGGCATGGTGGGTGTCCGCTGGGTCTCGTCTGTTCCTCAGACAACCCTGCCCCGGAGGCTGTCAGCTCAGGACAGGCGACCCTTCCAGCCGGTGAATGTGAGAGGCGGTGTGAGAGCATGTGGTGTGGGCGTAAGTCAGCGTGGGGTTGTCTCATGGGGCGTCTCTGCGTGTGGACGCGTGCATCTGCATGAGGCGTGTGTGCACACACACCTGTGGCATATGTGGTGTGTCTCTGTATGTGGGAGATGTGCGTGGGGTGTGGGTGAATGCCCGGCTACGTGCATTTGTACGTTTGTATGGGGTGGGGTGTTGTATAGGTTGTGTGTTCGTGTGTGTGGTAGTGGTATGTGTGGGGGTGTGTATCTCGGGGGGTGTATTTGTATGTGATGTGTGTGTGCATGGGGATCTTTGTGAGTGTGTGTGCGTACTAGGCACAGCCCAGGGACACGCAGCTCCCAAGTACCTCAGTCATTCACACCCAGCTGTCACCTGTTTGCCAAAGCCTGGTGCCACGTATTCAATCTTTTATAATAAGCTCACTTTCTACCGTAAACCAACATATTGTAAACGGAATTTCCAGTCAGCATCACAGGCAGTGTACCCAGCTTTCACTGAAGAGAGACCTGCTCATGAACAGTGAGGACCAAATCGCCTCGTGCAGCGGCCTGGCTTCTTCTGCTGTCATAGACTTGAGCTGGAAATCTGCCCACTTCTTAACAACTCAGGTAAATCAGAACGTACTAGAGGGCAGACTTCAGACGTGCCAGCACCCAACTGAAAGCTCTCTCTGTAATTTAATCCAAAGGATCAAAAAGGTATTTCTAAAGAAAATGACTTTATCACTGTGAGAGCCACGTTCATTGAACAGTCTGTCCCCGCCGGGGACCATCAGCCCACACTGAGGAAACAGGTGTGTCAGAGCCCCGCCAGGTGGGGGGCAGTCAGCTTGCCCGTCAGGACCCTGTCCGGAGGCTTCACCTGTGAGAGACAAGGCTGCCCAAATCTCACAGGGTGATGGGCACCGTGGCACTCAGGGAAGGAGCTGGCAGCAGGTTGCACAGTTAATCAGGATCTGTTGCTGGTACTTTAACTCTTTGAAGGACGCAGGTCTAAGAGCAGTGTGGGAGTGAGAGAAAGGGCAGCAGGCATGAGGGACAGGGAGGGTCACGCTTGAGGCTCCAGTCATGTGAAAACAGAACATAGGCCTCATCCTTGTGAATGGAAATACAATTTGAGAAATATGCTTCTCCTGCTAAGAAACGAATCAGCTTGCATTCAAGACAGCTGTTGCTACGTCCAGGCGCCCCGTTTCTCCTCTCTCCAGCTCCCCTGAAGCCTCCCTTGGACGCTCCTGGTGCGGCAACTCCCCAAATGAGCTGATTGAGTCCCGAGCTCGTGATGAAGGGGGAGCCCACTCCTGACCCCACTCCCTCCCCGGGGGCTCGTGCCAGTCGCCAGGCCTCCTGACTGACCATTCCGTGGCACCGCCCACGAGCTGCGCCATCTTACCTGACCCTTAGTGCGCACACCTGAGGGCCTGGGCAGGCAACGGGAAGAGAGCCCGCCAGGTCTCGGCCGCGCGAGGCCGGCGTCCCGCGGCAGGGATTCACGCCTCGGGCTTAGTGACGCCGTGGAAAGCAGAGCAACAGCGGCGACGGTCCCAGCCCACACGGGGCTGTCTCGGCCCTGGATTGCTGCTCGCAGCCTGCCCGGGCAGGGTTTAGGCTGGGTAGGGAGGGCTCCTCGCAGCTCTCGAACATAAACAGGGCCTGTTGCTTTGCTAATCCCTGACAGGGTGGAAGCGCTTAGCGAGAGAAATTGCGGGGGAGCCGGGACACATCGTGTCCCCAGTAAAGGGGGTCACCCTGGAGTTTCAGCAGCTTCCAAAGGATCCTGAAACCGCTCTCCTTCTCTTAACCCACATCCAGGGGTTAGCTTCTGGCTTTAACTTCAAAAAGTGTTGGTGTCCACACACCTGGGCTCAACCCTCTGTCCCTAGTGTATCAACAGCACCCCTGTGTTTGCTGGGTA